GAAACGTCTTGGTCACAGTGGTAGCTTTTGCCTCCCCTAAACGGGAAAGCGAATCGAACTCCCCCCTCGAGGAAAGGCTCCCCGCGTCTGCTCCCTTCTCGCTGTGCTCGCTCTGGGGCCACCACCACGGTGTCTGTGCTGGGAGGTTCTGGCGTAACAGAGTCTCGCTGAGATCCTTCCTTAAGCGCAGAGCCCCTGTGGGTGTCCCTTGTCCCCAGAAGCACGAGGAATGAAGAGTGGAAGGATCTGTTCAGCCCCTCTAAACTCCTGAGAAATATTTCTCTACCTGGACCTGTAAAATCTCCCGTGCCGCAGAGCACTCGTGTTTCTGGGACCACGCTGAGGGTGCAGTGACTTGTCACCTGCGGCCACCAGGGAGAGCTTCACACCGCGGGCTTCTTTCTGCGGCTTGTCCCACTGTCCCTGGGGACCGAGGGCGTGCTCCTGCGTGCTCGCAGTGGGGGCCTAAAATCTGTGACCCCCTCATATAGTACCAAAAAAACCCTACACTCAAAAAATACATGACCTAGGACACCGGTGGAGTCGGTCATGTTGCTGCTTTGCAGCAGCTCTTCAGGGTCTTGGACTTTGTGTTTCCTCCTCTTCCTCTTCTTCCTCCTCTCTGAGCTTTCTGCTGCTGCTCTGTGGAGGTTCTGCCTGGCAGGACCGGGGAGCCCCAGCCCCCGCCAGCTGCCTTCCCCTCGTACTGGGACACCTCGGCACAGCTCCGCCATGTAGGCGGTGGGCACCCAGGAGGGGTCTGCAGCAGACCCGCATCTTCTGGACTGTTTGTGGGGCTGCCGGGAGGGTGCTGCTGCCAGCTGGCACTGCAGCCCATCAGGTTCTTGGGGCAAAGCTGTGCCAGGACTGAAAGCAGCCCCAAGGAGAAGGACTGGGGGGTGTTAAGGGATGAGAAGCTGAAGATGAGCCGGCAATGTGCACTGGCAGCCCAGCAACCCCCCCATGTCCTGGGGGCATCCCCAGCAGCGTGAGCAGCAGGGCGAGGGAGGGGATTGTCCCCCTCTGCTCTGCTCTGGTGAGACCCCCCCTGGGGTGCTGCACCCAGCTCTGGGGTCCTCAGCACAGGACAGACACGGAGCTGCTGGAGCGGGGGCAGAGGAGCCCCC